TTTTTTTTCTGTGTCACCCGAAGATTGGAAGACATATTAAATAAATGACAAGCTTAAAAGCAATAAAATTGAAAATAATTAATTATCACAAAATTTGCATGAACATACTGAACACTGTCTTATGTTCGTTTTGTTTTTTATGTACCTAAAATTATAGGTATAGTTATAATAATATTATGATTATTCGTAGCTACAAATATAAATATATGTAAAGATATACGTATAAATTAATTATACGTATGTATAAGAATAATAACTACTACGTACCATGGGATTTTATGGGATGGTTCACTCATCACGTGGTCAGTACACAAAAAAATAACGAAAATGCATGTTGATGATAAATTGAGTAAAAATGAGCAGCATAATTCATCATTGTAGCAACAAATTTCAAGGCACATTGAAAAGTATTGAGCTATGTTTGGTATTTATAATTGTATTTGATTTTCACAATAAACCTTAACATTAAACTGTTGTATTGTAAAATACAATAAATCTGCTTTAAATTTGGTAATTTTATTTGTACAATAACAAACAGTACTTCCTGTAAATATTTAATAAAACCCCGGAAACTTTTGAAAATTTAAACAAATAGAAAGTAAACTGCCAAATAAATTACATGTTTGTGTGTGGTAGGTCGAAGATCACATGGGACCTTGGGTCTGTAATCAAATTATTACACTTGTAATTAAGCCAATCAGGAAAAGTTCATGTAATAATTTGGTCTGTTCATTATGTAGCTACCGCCGCGCCGTGAGTGAAATCCACCGTCAGTTGGTTTTAGAAGACCACTTCCGAATTTCTAGAGAAGCAAAACTTTCACCAGCTGACAAAAAGAATAAGTTTTTTCTATAAATATAAAAGAGGATGTTTGTATATATATTTGGCAGTGATAAACTCAGACACCGCTGAACCGATTGCCAAGAAACTTGGTACATACGTGTAGAATTTCATGGAATAGGTTTATACACCATCAATTTCGTGATCCGCCCAATCGGCTCCGCCCCAGTGGCTCTGGAGTTTCCCATGTTAACCTTATGAGAAATGGAATTAATGAATCTTAACAGCTGTTTCAATTAAACAATTTAGTTCTGTTCTATGATGTTCAATAGCATTTAAGTTACAAGGATTACCAACAGGGTGCAGCACTATTATTTCTTTTACATTTATGACAACAGCTAATTTGCAACCAAAAGGTGAGTGAGCATAGCGAACGCACTTCAACCTGGAGGCGAGTTAGCGTAGTGAACGAGCTAACCTGAAGGCAAGTGAGCGTAGCGAACGAGCTAACCTGAAGGCAAGTGAGCGCAGCGAATGAGCTCCAACCTAAAGTTGAGTGAGCGTAGCGAACGAACTTCAACCAGGACGTGATTGAGCCATGCGAACGAGATCATCTTGAAAATTAAGAAGTTAAACGGGGCAAAGCCCGCGGGTTACAGCTAGTAATATATAAAACTACTGGTAAAACCTGTACAAAAAATGAGCGGTAAGATTAGATTATCGAGAATTGTATTTGCAAAATTGTAGAAAAAAATAACGTGATACATTGTAATACAAACTTCGTTAAATACAGTCGTATTATGAACTGCAAGCAGGAATACGGTATTGAATACAATGGAGATACTTAAAACTTAGTATTAACATCCAAACTTACTCGAAAGATTAAAACAAAGATATTATTATGAAAACAGCTAACAGAAACGTGAAATCGAAATCTTCTGTGACAAAAGTTTTTCGAAAGGTCTTTCTTGTCAAGAAGTTCTCAAGAAGTAGCCAATCTATGTATTGTGTCTAAACGAAGTTTTCTTGGACAACTTCATAATCGAACTCTCTATGACAATCCAGTTGTTGAAATAACGAGGCTAAACTTACGTTTAGTAAAAGTTAATACAGTAATAGCAACAACGAAATAAAACGTATCCAATATTCAGTGCCGTGTGATATATGTTATTACATGTTATCTGGTTGGGTGATATGTTAGGGTTGTTAAATTGTAGGTTCTCTGAAAACCCGACAAAACCCGCCAACTATAAAATAGTAGCTCAGGAGACGTAGCTGTAAATACGTGCTGTTATAGTTTCGAGTTTTTTACTAAATTACCAAAGTTATTTATATTTGAGATAGAGGAGACTATCTAAGGAGTTACTTCGAAGGGATTATATTCGTAGAAAATATCACAGAAAAGAGATGTCCTCATGGATTAGGAAATACGTAGTCGTAGTCATAGCCAAAGAAATTAGCAAAACAATTCTAGAATGGTGCACCCCTTTCTAAGGATTCGGGGTTTAACCTGTAATTTGAGGTGTCAATCATTACCAAAGAACTGAGTCTACTTTTGAAACTAATCTAAAAACGTAGACTTTTTACCTTTCCTAAATCAAGTCAGTTCATATTCGCCTAAATAGTCCAACATTCTTATGGTAGTTAATTTCTATTTTCGTTTACATTGCTTCTAAAACTGCTGTTTTCAATAGCCCTTTTTATCCCCGTGGAAGAAAAGAATCAGCTGGTGTCAAGGAAATTATTTTATAAGCTTTAAACTCAATCAGCTTTTTGGCCGAAGTTAAAAGTTCTGATTAATAAGGAACAGTATTCTATCTGTTCTAGTATTCATGAGTATTATCTATCATTATTATGATCATTTCGTGTTCATCATCGTTTAACATTGTATATTTCACTAAAATGTTAACAATGATGTTATCATTATGTTTGGCGGAGTAAAAGCTATTAGTTTTAGCCTAATTGTATATAACCAGGTGGAAACAATATTGTGAGCTAATTTAGAAACTAGCTACTAAATTTAAATTTTAGGAATCAGTTGGCTTAAATAATATTGCATACAAACAAAAATTATGTACGGTATACAATCTGTTTTTGACCCTTTCTAATTTTCAGCTCATCTCGCGGAAAGAGCCACTTATAGGCCTTAGTCCCGTGTGTTGCAATATACTATTGTTTTTTGTTTTACCCACACACATTTCTTTGTGATTTGACTTCACGAAAGATGACTTATTCCTATTGGTCCGCTCAGCATGGCTCTCATCAGCTGATTGTCAGCTGTTATAACCTCACTTCCGGTCTGATTGTTGCGGCTAGGCGCCAGATATTAATAGACTCCCCGGAGACATCAATAACCCCGCCACAAACCGACTTGACACTTGTAAATACACTGTCACCATTCATATGACTCATACCCATCGTCTTTTGTTTGGAACGGTCTCTGATTAATGCCGCTGCGAATTGTTCGACGCGAATTTGTCGTCTCCTAAATAGACAGAGTTCAGTGAACTAATTTTACAAGTACATATTTTGGTACAGTTAATTTTTATGTTAAAGCTTTCACTTAGAATATTGCATGTAAACTTCTCATGGTGCTGTAAAATATGAATCAGGTTCTTATTTTTCATGGTGGTTAAAGTTCAGAGTGTGATGTTGACCAAATAATGATCTTTTATTTAGGTTCACCTTTTGCGTTTAATAATTGACGAGTATTTACATAACTAGACCACGTAGTTTAGAATAGTTTGAAAAATTATAAACGAATTGTAAACAGCAAAACAATTTTCAAAAAAACCGATGGGGACCAAACCAACATTTCGGCAGATTTATAGGGATAAAACCCCTATAAACGGGACGTTTGAGCCATGTCTTAAAACCTAAATTATTAAAAAGAAGGAAGACTTTGAATTTAGATTAACCAGTACAATTTGAAATAAAAAATGTATAAGAATACATTACTTTTGGAAGGAAAAAATACTTTTGCACAACACTTATTTGATTTTTTTTTAGTTTTTTTTTCAATTCCCAGACACAGTTGAATACAAGATAAAGTGTTCAGAAACTCCAAAGAAGTTCGTTCGGACATGAGATATGGATTGTCCACTTCTTTGATGCTCTTTCTAAAAGAAAGTTTCCTTTTAGTGAAGTTTTGTTACAAGATATGTCAGTTCTGTTCGTGATATATAGTAAGGATAAAAGTTACAATAATTTCCCAATGAAATGTGAGGCACCGTATCTACGATTTTTAGTTTGCAGTGTAAATCTAGCTTACACAATTTACAAAAATCAGCTCTATTATTTTTACCTGATACATTTCGGTGATATAAATTTAAATAAAATAGGCATGATTATGATGAGTGTTTCCTAAACAATGATTTATGAATTTAACCATGTGTCTATACAATTGTTATTTCACTGAAATTATTATTATCAACTCATCTTTGAACTACTTTACTGTAACCTGACTAATTTAGAATCTTTAATATTAATATTTATCCATAAAAACCATCTAAATATTAACTAAGTTTCACCTTAATCATATTTTTTTCACAAAATTGCATATTTAAGAATAACCAATCGTGAGGTACAGTCAATTTAATCGGTCGCTAAAACGTGTTTTAACGGAAGAAGGAAGACAACAGAGCACGCTTGGTCAGACCACCTGAGTTAAACGTCGATCCGTTACTCCGGAGATTGTATGGTTAAAGCCTTGTCGGACTCTTTTATAGCCGATAGAGGAAAGAAACAAGGCTAAAATGGGCCTACATGGTTGTTTTTCTCTACGTATTATCATTAGCCGCTGATTCGGAAAACAACAGTGGTTATGGGTAGGTTATTTATTAACAAATTAGTGTTTTGGTAATTGAAATAGTTTAGTATTCTTTAATAATTGCCTAATCATAACCTATACGATTCAGACATAACTAGCCGGTCTAACACTGAATTTAACCTGACTAAACAACGCACTATGTTCAACGTACCTTGGCATAACGTAGACTGAGACTTCCTCGTCGTTCGTCTCCTCTGTGGGGTTGAACTTTGTACTATTTGTACTTTGACCTTAGGCCCTATTGTATTTAACTAAAACTGGCTTCTTGATGATTGTTATAATGAAACTAAAATATTCTTTACTTTATAACAATTCCCTCCCTACTTATAAAAATAAAACATCCACTCTAAATAAAAACTCTTCTTAGGGAGGGAGACTCTCTTCTTATGCTCTACAGGTTCAGTTTATCAGGCGGTTTTATTGTTCGGTTTGAACGCCTGATACATGAGTCTGGACTCTTCAAGTTTACTCTTTCTGGAGACTTGATTATTCCTGGTGATTCTTGAGAGTCTTGATTTTGTGGTAATGATGGTCTTGTCCGGGATTTACTAGGGCTTTTTGTTGGGGTTTGTCTAGGAGAATATTCAATTGCCGGTGCTGCAATTTCTTCTGTCCTTGTGTTTTCATCTGGTCTAGGTAACGTTTGTTCTTCTTCATCTTCATGTGATGGATTCAACTTAAGGTGGTCTGCATGTATGAATCTTGTTTTACCTTCCACATTAACTAGATAGGTTACTGGACTGACAACCTTGAAAATGACACCAGACTGCCAGTTTATCTTCTCTTGTCTCACAGTACGGACTAGCACCATATCTCCTTTATTAAAAGATCTCTGTTTTCCTCTTCGGGTATCAGCTCTCGTTTTCGTCTCTTCTTGCTTTCTCTTCATATCGTCAGACAAATGAGGCATAAGTAAACTCAATGGTGTACGTGGGATGGTCTTGAGAAACATTTCGGCAGGTGTCATGCCTGTGGTCGAGTGTGGCGTGTTCCTGTAGGCAAACAAAAAGCTGTCTAGCCTATGTTGTAGGGTTCGGTTTAAAGTGGTTTTTGAATCCTCCAAAAGCTGTTTCAGGAAGACGTCTTTGGTTGTCTGCACCATCCTTTCTGCAAGGCCATTTGAAGCCGGATGATATGGTGGTGAAACCAGATGCCGAATGCCATTGAACTTCAGAAAGTCATTAAACTCTTGAGACGTGAACTGAGTACCTCCATCTGTTACCACAGTATTTGGTAAGCCGTAAGCTGCAAAACAGGTTCTTAGCTTTTCTATTACTTTAGCAGAAGTTGTAGATTTCATGTGGAAGATTTCGGGCCATTTGGATCTACTATCAACGAGAATGAGAAAATCTTTCCCCTCATAGGCGGCAAAATCTAGATGTAGCCTTTGCCAGTTGCGGTTTGGCCATGACCATGGTTGTAACGGGACCACTGGCATTGATTTCCTAGTCTTCTGACAGATACTGCACTTCTTCACAAACTCTTCAATTTCAACATCAAGTTTTGGCCACCAAACGAAGCTGCGAGATATTGCCTTCATACGCGACTCACCAGGGTGTTCCGTATGTAACAATTGTAGCACTTCCTCTTGATGAACACGGGGAATTATTACTCTTGAGCCCCACAGCAAGCAGTCTTTTTCTACTGAAAGTTGCAATGCTTTATCGGAATACGGTCTTAGCTGTATATCATTCGTATATGCAGGCCAGCCATTTCTAGTAAGGTCTAAGACCTTCGACAGAATCGGATCATACTTTGTCGCAACCCCGATTTCCTTGTAGGATATAGGAAATTTCTGACTGTGGGCAAAAAAGTTTATTTCACCTTCTATCTCCTCCTCCTCTTCTCCTTTGCATGGCAGCCTAGAGAGGGCATCTGCGTTTCCATGATCAGCACCCTTTTTGTACACTAAATCATATTGGTATGTTGCCAAAATTAATGCCCACCTCTGAATTCTAGCAGCTGCCAGAGTGGGTATGGCCTTGGTGGGACCAAGCAAGAATGTTAATGCTCTATGGTCAGTCACCAGTGTGAATTTCCTCCCATATAAGAAATTATGGAACTTGCGCACAGCAAAAATGAGAGCCAGTGCTTCTTTTTCGGCTTGTGCGTACTTAATCTCACTCTTGCCTAATGTCCGCGATGCGAATGCTACAGGCCTTTCAGACCCGTTGGGTAACACAAGTGCTAATACAGCTCCTAGACCATAATATGATGCATCGGCTGAGACTACAATGTCTAGATTTGGATCAAATGGAAGCAGAAAATTGTTTTGCACTAACATGTTTTTACTTGTTGTAAAAGCCTCTTCACATTTTTGACACCAATTCCACTTAACATCTTTATTTAAAAGCTGGTACAATGGATACAATATACTAGAGAGATTTGGCAAAAATTTTCCATAATAGTTAACTAACCCCAGGAATGAGCGAAGCTGTGACACATTTTCTGGTTTGGGTGCCTTTACAATAGCTTCCGTAAGTACCTTAAAAGGGTGAATACCCGCTTCATCCAACTCATGCCCTAGGAAAGTGATCCTAGTCTTGAAAAACTCACTCTTTTCGTTATTAATTTTAACTCCATACTCCATAAGCCTGCGGAGGACCTCATCTAGATGTAAAACCATTTCTTCATCGCTAGAAGCCGTTATCAGTATATCATCTAAATAACAATACGTGTTCTTTAGTCCACAAAGAATTTTGTCCATAACAGACTGAAACAAGGGTCCTGCACTTGAGATTCCATAAGGAAGTCTGAGATATCTGTACAATCCTTTATGAGTATTTATGGTAAGCAACTCCTGTGAAGCTGAATTTACTTTGCACTGTAAGTATGCATTTGCCAAGTCCAATTTACAAAATACTTTGGCTCCTACTATTTTGTTAAAAATTTCATCAGGCAGGGGCAAAGGATAATGATCAGTCCTTACACAAGGATTTAGCGTTATTTTGTAGTTCCCACATAGCCTAACTGTACCATTAACCTTTCGAACCACCACCAAAGGCGTGGCCCACTCAGACTGAGTCACAGGTTTTATTATTCCATTATCTTCTAATTTCTTGAGCTCTGCTTCTACTGCAGGCCTTAATGCAAACGGGACGTTGTGTGGCTTACAGAATACCGGTCTTGCATTTTCTTTTAACACCAAATTAACTTCTACATCTTTTATCTCCCCAAACTTGCCATCAAAAACATCATTATACTTGGCCCTCAGATCTTTAATCCTATTATGAATTGGAACAGTCTTACCAATTGCCAGCAGCGAGGAACTTTCTCCCCCGTTGATCCGAGACCAATCCAATTTGATTTCCTGAAGCCAATTCCTCCCCATTAATATTGGTTGATTTGGGTCCTTGTTTTTGACAACAACGAGCGGCAACACCTTCGATTGTCCGTCATCGGTGGAGACTGTAGCCTGAAACTCACCAATTGTTGGTATTTTGTCTCCAGTATACGTTTTCAAACTAATGGATGAACGCTTTAATGCTGGGACTACATGCTGCAATTTATCATAATAAATTTTCTCCGGGCAGACACTAACTACTGCTCCAGTATCAACAGTCATGTTCAATGGTACATTATTTACAAACAGTTTTGCTATAAAATTCTTTGTTCCAGAACTATTAGCATAGGCTATGGTATTTACCGTCAAATCACTTAAATACAACTCCTCTCCATCAACAGAATCATCTTCATCACTACAGATTGTGTGATTGAGGTTATCTTCATCACAATAGCTAACCCTAGATTTAGGCTTAAACTTAAAAGAAGACCTTTTATATTTACTCTGTTGGCAAGCAGCCGCTAAGTGACCTTTTCGCTTACACAAATTACATACGTACTTCTTGTACGGACAACTCCAAGCATCATGCTCCTTCTGACACCTGTAACACACTTTAGGCCTAGCATCTTGGCCTGTACTTTTAGGCCTAACCTTCGGTGCGGAACTTTTGTTTTTAACAAAGTTTACCTCAACAGCACAGTTTTTATGTAAATATTTGACATTGTGCTCCGCATCTTCCATGACTAATGCAGTAGATAGGGCTTTTTCAAAAGTTAAACTATCCCCCTCTGCTAATAACTTACTCTGGATCTGAACTGATTTCAACCCACACAAAAATCTGTCACGGAGAGCCTCATCTAAAAACCTGTCAAAATTACATTTTGAGGCTAGCTTTTTAAGTTGAACCCCATATTCCGAGATTGTTTCACTATCTAACTGGTTTCTCTTATTAAAAAGGAAACGTTCATATGTAATATTCCTTTTCGGAGCAAAATGAGCTTGAAGAGCTTCCAAAGCTTCCTTAAAAGCTACATCTTTAGGCAACTTAGGAACCAAGAGATTTTTCAAAGTGGCATACATTTTAGGCCCCATAAACGAGATAAAATATTTCTTTTTATCTTCATCCTTAACTGAATTTACTAAAAAGAAGTTTTCTAGCCTTTCAGAGAAATTTTCGAAAGATTCCTGCTCTGGATCAAACTCTGACAACTTACCGATTATGCTCTTGGCCATAGTACAAGTCCTAGGCCTACACTAAAAATCATTAAAAATCAAAACATACTTCAATAATCTTCTATGGCAATACTTTTCCTGTATATTACAACACTTTTATTCACTTTAAATAGCTTCAAACATTTAAAAATCAGTTTTAAGCACATTTAAGCAAAACTTTGCAATATCTGACAAGAAAGTTTGCACACGCACACGACACCGTGATGACTAATCCAACCCGTGCAACGTGCTTTCAGTGAGTCAACCAGTGTCCACTTACAGAAATCTCTCTGTACCTGTTACTTTTAACAGTTCCAAAACTTATTACTTCTTGGTAACTGCTTACCGACCTGGTGTAACTGGAACTGGAAATGCTTGCAGGGCAATACTGGACCTGTTATCTTGGAGCTGTTCCTGTTATTGGACCTGCCTTCTTCAATCCGTTCCCAAGTACAACCACTCCTTTCTTCACTGTTCTCACCCGTTGCTTCTGGATTTAGCTGATTGTATGTTAATTGCTCGTTTGTCGTTCCGTGTTAAAATGAATATTCCTTTTCTTTATAACAGTAATGTTGGTATTTTCCCTCTTATCCAGATTAACAACAGAAACTGTGACGATATTTTTCATTGATAGAAATATTATTGCCAAATGTTGACTCTAAGCACTAGGCTTAAAAAGGGCACATTTATGATTTTGAGGTAAACATTTCATATAATATTTTATTAAATTCAATTCATTATTTACCGCCTAACATTTTATAATTTTGTAGCTAGAAGTGCATTGGTGCTCATCGGAAATCCACTATAAACTATAGGTCCCTTAGTTGCCATTATCTGTATGTATAGGCTATTAATTAATAGCTGTGTCTAGGAAATATGTCGGCCTTAGTCACTAACAAGACTAAAAGATCGCGCCACTCATCCTATACTCATCTCCATTCATACAGCTTAAAATACCTACTTTGTATGGTCGCCATTTCATTGAAAAGTGTAAAAAAGTATAAGTATAAATTAATATTCGAAAATTCTGTTGAATTGATTTAACGTAATTGCATTTCAATCAATAACTTTGTTGATCTCTGTGTCTTGTCATGTGTCCATGTATTTCTGTGGGTACAATTGTACAGAACAATAGCTACCTACTGATTATGCGGAAGACAATAGTAACCACTGACTATGCACAGGTTAAGCAGATATGCAGATCGCTAGCCAGATGTAATAGAGTCCCATTAGGCAAATTGAGCACACAGGACAGTTCCCAGTAGATGTATTTGCTTCCTGTCGGTAATTTACTCTAGTAGTAGGTTTTCTACATAGCGTTATAGGCGCACTTGCAATGAAACACTCGTATGGAACTCTGCGGCTGAAAACGATGTTTGCCAACACGTTTGAAAGTGAAAACACAATTTTGCAATACAATTGCTGTAAAAGGATTAGATTGTCGACTGTTAATACCATTTCCTTGGATCTACAATCATAGACATTGGATGTTTCTAGTCCTGTAAAAATACAGTATTTAATTGCAAACATGTTTCTCTCATAAAACAAACTGTCATTGCAACACGTGATAGCTGTGTGAAACGGTTGTATTATACTTATTATCATGAAAATAGCATAAAATATACAAGAGCTCGCCTCGTGGTCGAAAACTCTGCAAATTTCTCTATTTTCACCCCATGCTGTAAAATATATTCTTACATATATTTTGTTGTTATTTCGTCACCAACATGGCAACCCATAAGGCCAATGTTAATTTTTTGTAATTATAAATTCAATTATTGTGCGTATTTTGGGCCCTATTTTAGTTTATAAAGGGGTTCTGCATATCTACAGGCAAATACCTTTCATTTGGTACCAACCGCGAGTAATTCGGCCCAGTAGTGTGGTCAGGCTAGCTGCCATAAGTTTTGCAAAGGTTTTTTAGTATATGAGATAATTTAATCATTTTAATTGATTGAAATGAAATCAAAATTACATCAAATTACATTATTCAAGAAAAAACATAACAAGAAATAGAAATATGATCTTGGTGACAAATATCCATTCAGGTTTATGCCCAATTTCATTATTCCTTCTGAAAACTCAAGCAGACCCTGAAAAAATTACACGTACCGTACTAAACTTTCCTCGTGTAGTTATTTCGTAATGTTCCTGATGTTCTCTAAAGAAAATAAAGGGGTTTGTAAATTTTAGAATTTTCGCAAACGGGCGATTTTAATATTTATGTCAGAGAATCTTGTGACAACATCAAATTAAATTCCTCGGCGGATGCTGGCTCCTAATTGGTATGCAGTTGAGGCAGAGGATACGTTCGATTCCGTGTTGGTGTTTCAAGTGAGAGATGAGTGTGCCTGTGTAGCCTAATGCACTGTCGGGACCTTACAAGAGTTTCTCGATTACAACTACTAAAACCACCATTAATAAACTAAAAATATACACTCATGTATTTGTAAAACAAATTATTATTCAACATTCGTAATGAATTTAGTCAAATATGAGTGTAATCCTAAGTAGTAGTGGTTTAGATAGACTTGTAACAAACTCTACGAACACTTTTAAAAGTGCTGCTTTGTGGTTTGTAGTGAAGCCCAGAACTGTTAGATAATATATGTGAGATTATTCGTATATTTCATTATATAAGATACTGAATATATTTCTTACTGATAGGTTTTGTAACCTTAAGGCTTCTTTCACACCAGTGCGGTGCGGCACCGCCCCGCACCGTCGATGCGGGATGACCCGCAAGGCCCTATCACACTAGCTGCCCGGATCCGAGCGTTTCCAGGCTGAAACTTTGTGATTTTTTGATGTATTTCATTCAAATAAATAAAAGAAAGGTGGTTATGCTACTTGTTGTATCCGAAAATAAAATACAGCGCCCCCTTGCTAAATAACTTAATTGGATCGATGCCGTGTGTGTAAAAATTTCAATTCATTGTATTTGTAAAAGTTATGGTGACAGCTGTGGGGTATCAGATCTTTAACTTCTGTATAATGTCCACATGTAAGTGATCGTTAAACCAAATGTTTTATATTAAATAAATCAGGCATGTTTAATTAAATCGTTTGTAAAATTTTAACATGCAAATGGAAGATGGTTTGCTGCAGTGGGGGTTCTCGTCCTACACACTTGCCTTCAAACTAAACCAAAATATAAAGCTTGATCAAACTAATCAGCTCTACATAAATTTCAACCTCCGTACCAAAAACAACAAACTTCCCTATTAAGTTAGCAATAGTACTACAAAATAGACCACAATCAACCACTGATAGGCATAGACTGTCAAAACTACTGATTTATGTGCGGGCGAAACCAGCCCGTCCCGCGCAAGTGTGAAAACGTACATAAGAGCCCATGATCTAAAAACTATTCATGCAGTTTCGTCCCGCATTGGAAGTTTAGGTTCGTGCGGGTGATTTTTCAACCCGGACAGAGGTTTAGGTCTGTCCGGGTCAACCCGCAATGGTGTGAAAGCTCCCATATGATTCAATAGTCTAAACAGCTTCGTCCGGTGCGGGACGGTCCCGCACCGCGCTGGTGTAAAAGAAGGCTAAATAGGGATTAATCTAGGCCCTAGGTCATATTGACACTATGTTAATGAGACAATTATCTTCATTTAGGCTTTACATTTTAAACATAGGCGATAGGTTATTAAAAACATAGGTTATTTTAAAATAAATGTGTGTAAACTAAATAAAAGCCAACAAGTTTTCAAAAGCAGTGCATTACTTTGGGACAGAAAGCCATGCTGTATCGTTTCCAACTTAAGTTATATTTTTGTATCCGACAAAAGTTTGCTTCAAGAAGTATTAGAGTGAATGACCCGGCCATATTTGTTGGATCTGAGTTGATATAACTTTGTATTGTCTGGAACATGTCTCATCAACGACACACTTACAATAAAAGACAGCATATTCAATATTTTATTTGCTATCATAAATTTGAAAGGCAAATTTCTTAATGTAACTCAATGCAGACATTGTTCAATGTTGCATATAGGCCTAGTCTATATATAAATCACGTTGTATTATTTGTCGATAAAAGAATAATTTGTATAATAAAATGTACT